TTAATATAGTTATAACTGTTTAAGAAACTTTTTATGTCTTGTTATTATACTCAGTCCATTGCTTAGAATTGTATTTTAATTTCGAAAAACAATTATTATTTATATCATTATAATTTTGATAGCGCGTGTTAAAATTTACATTTTTTTCAGTAATTGAACATGATAAGAAAACAATAACGATTTTTGAAAGAATAATAGATACAATTCAGCAATATTTCTTGCCAAATTTCTTATCTTCTGACAGGCTTTGATTAGTCTATGGTTTAACAAAGAGCAGAGTTGTCATAGAAATCATGAAAGACCAAGACTTTATGTAATTTTTGCTGACAATCCAAACAACAACGACAATGATTGCTTGAGAAAGCATCTGAGGGAAATAAAAAAGTTTGCAAGTAAGCTATAATGCGATTTTCTGCCTTCCTTACATGTAACATACCAAATGAAATATAGAAATAACAAACATTTCTGGACACTTCAAGAAAACAGTCAATACATTAGGGCATTGTTTTATCATTATCAATCAAATTAAATAAATGAATAAATACACCCCCTCCAACACACACACACTTACTTGTTTACGTGTTGCAGTTATATATGCATTAGAATTCTTATTTTTTCTTTAGGGAAAAGCAAAACTCCATGTGTTTCCGTGAGTCAAAAGCTGCTTTTCATCGAGGGCAATGTATTCATCCACTACAGAACAGAGGCCTCTGTCATAAAGGTTAATCTTTGATTAAGCTTACGGAAAAGTTCAAAAGAACGAAGATTGCGTGATAAAAACATCGTCCTTTAGTACTTGTATCTGTTTATTGAGTCATTTGTAGGATGAATTTGTTTCGCATCTTCGATTTCTCCAATACCAATCGGTAAACCGCTTCTATACATGCCCGTACATGCCTCGGGTTTGAATGTTTTCAAGTTTCTTGATAAGTAGTGCATTTGTAAAGAAGTAATGAGGAAGTTTTTATTTTCCTCATAAACAAGAACAGTAAGGCCACAACATTGTTTTTTTTCTTGAAATACAACAAATTCATGCGATGTAAACTAAATGATTGTTTAAATCATCAACCCTTTTACTAGAATTGAGGACACTGGTGGGTCAACATCTGGAAAGCATTAATCTAATTAACATTAATCGATGACAGGAATATATGCTCTTATATTTTTTGGAAGAGCACATTTTTACCACTGATCGTTTTTTTTAAAGATGAAATTTGTTACACTTGTACAAAGGACAATGAGACGATATCGCTTATGTTCATTACTTGGAATTTTCTTCATTTTTCATATACTTAAGGTTCAAAGCAATTTATAAAAAAGAATCAACACGTTCTTACTGTTGAGAATTCAAATTTATGACATCGTATAATAATTTGTGATTGGTTTATTGTATCAACATACCTGAATTTCATTATGCTCTATCGTTACAGCTAAAAGTGTTTTCTGTAACACTCACAAATTATTTGTTATAAAAAACTATGCCTCTGGTATCCATAAACAAAACAGTATAAAACGATCGGCAATATATGGACTGTTTTCAGCTGTTGATATCGATGGGATTTTCGACAATTCATAGAGGGGAAGCCAATGAAGATGAAGAAGAGATCGTTTATTTCCAAAGAATGGCTGAATGTAAGAAACATTGAAGATGAGAATTTTTCCTTTATATGCATATGGCTAAAATGGGGAAAGGGGTCCGATTATCTGTTGTAAGCGTCATAAAAAATGATTTGCCAATGACTATGAATAAATAGTCATCAAAACAAAGGTTTTATTGCAAAACGTGTGCTAGTGTTGGTATGGATCAAGTTTTTGTCACTTTCATTCCATTAGGTTACCGATTAATTGATTGATTTTATAATTTCTAACGTTCCATTCGATAGTTTTTCACTCAGAAAGGCTTCAAATTTAGACTTTGCACTCAGGGTCATTCAGCACTGATGGCTCTTTTTCGTGCCAATGCCCAACACGATGTGACACGGGACCTCGGTCCCTAAGGTGTCATCAGAAAGACCTTTGACTATAACATCTAATGCCAAGCGCTTGACGAAGGAACAGACACTACCGGGTACCTATGTTTACGTCTAAATTTTGACGTCGGGAGGTGAACGTGGATCAAACACGGGCCTCTTTATCACGAAGCGAACCCCTACCACTCGGCTACTGTGATCGATAAAATGGGTTATCGAAATCCCTAGGATAGACAAAAGAAATATTTCCCTACAATTGCGTGACTTTTCCTTTGTGCATTTTTATTTTGATCTATTCACTTATCTGCAAATTGTCAAGCCGCAACGAAGTGAAATTTTGTAGTTTCATTTTGTTATAAATATTTTTTTGTGTTATGTTGGAAATGACGAAAATTTGATAATAATTATTATCATACTTTTCGCAGAACTAGATTTATTATACATATTACACTTAATTTCATTTGACATGATTTGGTTAAATAAGCTTAATCTTACACTGTATTAGCAAATGATTTTCTGATTAAATTTTCATCGGAGGTTATGTTCCAAAAGGTGCATCGAGAATTTTTATATATTTTGAATTATCATCAGGGTCATGTAAGATCATTTCCAAAATTATGTTATGATGTTTTCGTGGATCTTACTTCTGTCATAAGTAGTAATTCATTTGTATCATTTTACACACAATATATCATGCACTTTGGACGGAATATGATAAGAAGGGAAATTTATTTTGATACAGATTACTGCGAGGATTTGTTCCTACCAGTTATTATATCAACTGAGAATGGAAAGTCTTGTAAAGAGGTTCTTCAATACGCTTCAGATAAGAAAATACCTATGGTGTATTTCAAGGTAATTGTGTGCTTCAAAGGATCCCAGTGAAAAAGTGTATATCTAAATCCAAAACGTCCTTTAATTGCTGGCTAGACACTTCCCCATGGAGTTTTATGGAATATTGTGAATTTATCATAATAATGAATTTGTAATTTTTTTTCATATCAAAATTCAAGACGATGATAATTGATGTCACTGTCAAACTCGCTGATCGTGTACTTTGGTTCATTTTTCAATAATCAATGTCATCTTGCTGATATAAAGGATGCATTAACGTGGCCCTGTCTGGTTCGAAGTTATGAAAAACGATCATCAAAATAATTTTGAATTTTGAATATTTTTTACATTCTTATGAACCATGCTAAAAAAGAATGAATTTTTAACAAATTGCATTGTTGTAGTGAAATGGTGATCATTTCAAAATGCTGACCATTTTTATTTACACACAACTTTTTAATACAGCCACCTAATCAACAAAGGTATTTGTATATTAAGAAAACAAACAGGCGAAATCTTTTGCTTTCCATAAATAAGGCATCCTTTATTTTAAAAAAAGAATGGAAATTTCTGGTATTCTTTATTGTAGTGAAAAGATGCATATCAAAACAGGGCAATATGGTTAAAATTATCTACTCCCACCTCGCGAGTTTCTAGGGTTTGTGGTTTATGCCCTGTTTTTAACGTATTGTTCCTAATTTTCCTTTGGATCAATTAAAGTTCCTTACATTTTTCTCTTCTGAACCGGTGATGGTTGTGTCTTTTTGAAGCCGGAGTCTGTTTTGGGTAGAAGTACATGTCCACAATAACACTTCAATTTTGACTACTCGTATCGTTTTCACGTATTCATGCTTAAACTTCCTAGTTCATGTTATACACCCAGAAAATTTTACAGAGATATCAAGATTTCTGCTCAGTTTACGGGATTTGGGGACAACCGTTGTTGATATCATTTATCTCCTGATGATTCCATGTGTTTTTCATGAATCCTTAACTGTTATACTGTTAAATGATTTCCCTTAGTCTACTCTGACTCATACTTACATTAAGAAGTGTAAGGTGCAATTCTGAAAGAGCTATTTTGATCAATTTGCAATTAAATTTAAATTGTACTTGTTTTTAGAAGGATGGACACGAAGCCTTTGTCTTAACCCCTGATGAAGAGTTTCGTGAGTCATGCAAAGCAACTGAGCACCGATTTGATCTACGAACACCTTGGCAAAGGCAAAAAGTTGAAAGACGTGAAATTAGAACGGATAGAAATGATTTGGAAAGGGATAACGAGTTATTCTTTGTTGATGCTGTTAAGCTAAAGCAAAACTACCCCTTTGATGCTCTGGTTTGCTATTTACTCATTGGAGGTATTTTGAATGTTTTTTTGTTTGTTTGTTTGTTTGTTTTGTTTTTTGTTTTTTTTTTTTTTTTTTGTAGTACAAGAAAAAAATATTTTGTGTGAAAGGAAATGACACTTTATAACAATTTTCGGTTAAAATTTATTTACACAAAACACAAGGAGTTGAAATTGGACAGAGCAAATCAAATATTTACTTGAAAATTGCTTCACATTCTATGTACCGAAAAACTGCCATATTGTACTTAATAAATTTCATTTCTTTCTGGTAAAAAAAAAGTATAATTTCACTAAAGACATATTATAAAATTTTATGCGTTGTCAATTATTCTCATGAAGCATGACTCTTCCATGTGATATATTTTTTCTTTGCTTTATTTTACTTTATTGTGTGAAGAGGTATTAAATAGACCATGGAAAGTAAAAACTATAACACTAACAATGTACTTCTATCCAATTTCTAAATAAATTAAATACATGTTCCGACAATAAAATAGATATTGTTGTATTGTCCTTTGCAACATTTACGTGCTTGAAGCCCCTCTACATGTACTTTGACAAAGGTTAAGTGAATTTTGTTCCTTCTCAAGTATCCTTATATTAATTTAAATACTCAATACTCTTCCAATGGTAGACAGTTAAGTATCCAAATCAGGTTGTGCTGATTTAGATTTATTATAAATCTAATGTGTCAAGAGGTTAAATTTTTTTCTCTAAGTATTTGAATTTTGTTCTTTTTATTCGACAGTTGCAATGGAATCTGATTTAGATATATTATATATCTAATATGTCAAGAGGTTAAATTTTTTCTCTAAGTATTTCAATTTTGTTCTTTTTATTCGACAGTTGCAATGGAATCTGAACCAGAAGCAGAAATATTTGTAAGATTTTTAAACTGGAATATAACTTTTTATATATTTCCGATTAAAAGACTAATGATAAAACACAAACACAGATATTCATTTCAGCATATTTTTTTTTAAATAATATCAATTAACAAGACATGTATTTATCAGAAGTTTCAAAAACTGTCATTACTGTAATGAATTTAAAATGTATATAACTATGTTTTCTAAATAGCATATTTCTAAAAAAAGAATCTCTATTTCTTTACGACAGTGAAACAATTTAAAAGATTTTTTATTTAATTTTTTTTCTATAGGGAAGCCAAACTGATGTGTATCCAAATGCTCTGTCTATGCACCTTTTAAAAGAAGGACAGTGGAGAATACCAAAGAATGTAATAAAGAAATCTTATAGCCACAGATCCATCGAATACATTAATGGAGAGGTACACAATAACTGAAGAATCATCCCCTCTCTTTCTTTATTTTTTTTTAGCTCACCTGAGCCGAAGGCTCAAGTGACTTTTTCTGATCACATTTTGTCCGTCGTCCGTCTGTCTGTCTGTCTGTCCGTCTGTAAACTTTTCACATTTTCGACTTCTTCTCCACAACCACTCAGCCAAGTTCAACCAAACTTGCCACAAAGCATCCTTTGGTAAAGGGGATTCAAGTTTGTTCAAAAAAGGACCACACCATCTTTCAAGGGGAGATAATTAAGAATTAGTGAAAATTTGGTGGTATCTTCTAAAAATCTTCTTCTCAAGAACCACTGGGCTGTAAAAGTTGAAACTTATGTGAGACCTTCATTACATAGAGTAGATTCAAGTTTGTTCAAATCATGACCCCTTGGGGTAGGGTGGGGCCACAATGGGGGATCAAAGTTTTACATAGGAATATATACGAATAAATCTTTAAAAATCTTCTTCTCAAGAACAACAAAGCCACAATTAGTCATATTGATATGGAATCATCCTCAGGTAGTGCAGATTCAGGTTTGTTCAAATAATGTCCCCCGGGATAAGGATGGGGCCACAATGGGGAATCAAAGTTTTACATAGGAATATATAGAAAAAAAATCTTAAAATCTTCTTCTCAAGAACAACAAAGCCACAATTAGTCATATTGATGTGGAATCATCCTCAGGTACTGCAGATTCAAGTTTGTTCAAATCATGACCCCCGGGGGTAGGGTGGGACCACAATGGGGGATCAAAGTTTTATATAGAAATACATGTATGTAGGAAAAATCTTGAAATTGTTTTTCTCCTAAACAACAAAGCCACAATTAGTCATATTGATATGGAAGCATCCTCAGGTAGTGTAGATTCAAGCTTTTTCAAAACATAACCCCTAGGGGTGGGGTGGAGCCACAATGGGGGATCAAATTTTTACCAAGGAATATATAGGAAAAACCTTTTCAACAAAAGAAAAGCCATGTTTAGTCATATTGATATGGAAGCATCCTCAGGTAGTGTAGAATCAAATTTGTTCAAATGATGGGGGGGGGGGGGTAGGGAGGGTCCACAATGGGGGATCAAATTTTTAACAAGGGAATATATAGGAACAAAATCTTTAAAAACCTGCTCAAGAACAGCAAAGCCATTTGTTATATTGATACGGAAGCATCTTCAGGTAGTTCAAAATCCAAGCCCCCCCCCCCCCTCTTTAAACTTTTCAATACTTTCCTAGCCAATGTGCTCAGGTGAGCGATGTGTGGCCCATAGGCCTCTTATTAATATTTCGTTTTACTTTTTTATATTTTTAAGAAATTCATTCTGAATGTTCCTTTTGATTTTGTTCAAGATTTTTCTTCGTGTTTTTTAATTTAATCTGACATATCTTGCTAACAGAAAAAAAAATTGAATGTCCTACTTTTCTGTCGATGAATATTCCACCAAATTGTAATAGTATACGTATGGTTAGAAATAAAGCTGTTCTAATTTGAAGGTGATGTGTCGTAAAATAAATTTTGCAAAGTAATGTGTTTCGTAAAAAAAAAATTTTTCTAATCTTAAAAAAAGTTTCGATATTATGATCAGTAATTCCAACATTCCTACCTAAGTTAAAACTTATTTCCTTTAAAAGATCTATAGCTCCATTTGTATTAATATATCTTAATTTTTGTAATAACACTCTACTCGTATATCTTTTTTTAAGCATACTTAATTTCGAATCCGTTATTAAAATTTTTAAAGTAGTACCGCACATCAAATTTGATTTTCTAGAATTCTAAAGAAATCAAAACTAACTGATATATTTAAAACATCCGAAAATCATTGCCTTTTTCAGAAACGCAAATGGTACAGGTACACTGTAGAGGGAGTACAAGTTTTCTTTTATGTAACACAGAGAACAGGCAATAAAAATTATCTTTATGCCTCATTCGTACGTTACTCTCATGAAAATGCATTACAGAGTATGACAGAGCAATTTGCAGAAGGTTTGTGGAAGGAATTACAAGAGATCTCTTCGGATGCATACCGACCTCCAGCCTGGATAGAAACTAGAAAATGTAAGTATAAAGATTTTTTTTTTAATAATGATAATAAAGAAATTTTTTACGAATGATAACAAAACTAACATTAACACCTGCATATGGAGTTTATATCTCCCATTTGATTCGATGCGCAAGAGCATATTCTACGAATGAAAAATTTCTAAAACGAGACAAGATATTGACAAATAAGCTGATGAAAAAAAATATCAACAGTCTCGATCAAAGTAAGCATTTCCCAAATTTTTGGTCGATATAATGACCTTGTCAGCAAATACAATATATCATTAAGTTGAATGTTGACAAATTTTTCATACAAATTGTTAGGCCATTATTTTCACTAAATTATCTAGGAATTTTTCCATTTGCCCGATCATGACGAAAAGCACAGGAGGGATGTGATTGGTAGACAGGGGATGTTTTCTCCTCTATGGCACCTGATCCAACCTTTATGTTTACCCTGTTCCAAATTTGTATTGTTCCAATAAACTTTTGAATTTGATTACTGTTTATCTCCATATACATGTATCATATTAGTCCAAGAGGCTGCACACTCTATAGATATCATATAAAGTATATTTTTTCTTCATTTCATTAGACCCAAAACTGAGTGTGACTACATCCGAACTGTATGGCTTGATTTTCTATGCTTTGCTGTTCCGAAAATTTTATCTTGGAGCAAAACAATTGGTTGAGACCGGATGTGTAAGTAAATAAATATCCGTGTAATTCGTTTTTCCTGTTAACACTTACTACTGTAGAAGCAAAAGTTGTCCATTCTTGGATTTTTTAAAGTTTTCTCCAAAATCTCCCTGCCTTTATTTTATTCAAGAATACAACACTTTCCAGAAGTAGCAGAGAAATTAAAAATATGATTGCACTTAAAGGAAACAAAGATCGACAAACTTTTAAAAATTTAACTTTAAAGAATTCTAAATGAAAAAAAAAGAAATTTTTAGTTGGCTACAATGAGGATGCAAACATTCATAATGAATATGCTAAAAATGTTTTACATCTGCAAGTCGGTCTACGAACGTATTTTGTGTAATGATCAAAAGCTTTTTTTCTCAGGTACGCATTCGGCATATCTTGGTTGGTTGTGTTATTTTACAACAAGAAGAGAATAATTGGCAAACAAGTCAATTGGAACAGGAACAGATACAGCTTATGCACAGGTAGAATTGAAATAGAAAACACCAAATTCATACGAATCAAGGCCGCGACTGACCTAACTCGATAATAAATAAGTACGTAGCAACTGTTCCTTAGCCAAGCGTTCGGCAGTTTGAAGTGAAAAGTGCGGGTCCTTCGGATGAGACCTTAAAAAATCGAGGGCATGTGTCGCGGAAGGCGTTGGCACGATAAAGAACCCTCACTGCTCAATGGCCCTGAGTGCCGAGTAAAGGTCTAAATTTGAGTCCTTCACCGGTACATATGGTTACGTCTCTATAGAGAAATACCGACATCTTACGAACGAACGTAACCAAGAAAGGGGATCGTTCATTGTACTCACATTTGCATTATTAAACTCTTCAATGTTATTGCGATTTCAAAAGATAAAATCCCCGCAGGATACCTCAAAACTACTTCTTGTCGTTGTCGCTACCGTGAGGCTACAATACATTTCAATGGACATTTAAACGAGCAAAGGGGTTCCGAAAAGGGAAATACACATGTAAAAGGAAAACAAAAAATTTCTCATTTTGAAGCATGAAGTCAAAGATTCTGTCTTACGAAAAAGAGGGCGAGAGAGAGTTAAAAAAAACAAACAACATAAAACAATGTTCTTTTTGTTCACACTACTAGCTAAACTTCGTACATGTAAATCATATACGGTGCCAATTTTGATGCAGCAGAGGCGCATTTAAAGTTACATAGTGAGTCAATATCATGTGTTTCTTTAAAGTTTTCTTTTTCGTGTTGGGGCAAACTAAAATTATTTTTACTTGCATTTTTCTCCACAAAAGTAGATTTTTTAGGTTTTGAAACCTGTAATTTTCTGAAACGTAATACTTTTTAGAATTGAATTAAATTTGCATGTGTCTTGCAAAAAATTTACTTCTGTAAATTTTCCCGTTTGTCCGTCACAGTGTCTCTTTAAACACATTATGTCTCTTAAGTAGATTCCTTATTTTACGCGAGTACTCAATATCGCAAAATGGCCGAAGGGCGTCAAATCGCGAGAACAATAATTCGCGAATGGTTGATGTATCTAGAGATTTTACATACAGTAAAGCATCATAAAAATAAAAGCGAGTGATTTTATTTCGCGAGTGGTGCTTCTCGCGTAATTACGCGATAATTTATTCCTCGCGTATATTTAGGAATCTACAGTATTGCTCATGCCGAATCGTTGGAAATCCGAAATATTTAATGGAAAAAAAAATCAAAAAGGGGGGAGGGAGGGGGCAAAAACTGGAGCAAAATTACGTCTAAGGATCGTATGTATCTAAGAAGAAGCCTTATCAACCGAAAAATTACGAATGGGCTTTTTTCCCACGGATTCATGATATCGCTATAATACATGTACATGTATATTGAAGCCGGGTTTAATTTTATTTTGATAGTTTTCTTAGCCATTATACAAGGAATTATCACCTCTTACAGTATCTGCGTAGAAAATTAATCAATAGCTTTTCCTGATGTGATATATATGAGAATGATTTTGCAACTGAAACTCATGCACATTTCATTCAAAATATTCAGTTTTTTTTACAAATTAAAATGCAATGCAAATCAGCTGAACAAAAATTGGCCTTAGTAACCCCTGTCCACATGAATGCTGCTTCGGTAAGTAATTTCCAGACACGTGGTATCAGCCAAATTAGGTTAGACCATCTTTAATAAATTGTCTCTTTGCCCTCACCGACTAGGTAAAAATGACCCGACTCAAAACTTGTTTAACCTGAGGAAACGATAATTTTTTCTCCTGAATTTTCTTTCTCCATCAATAAGAATGTTGAAATTTTCAGGAAAAAAAAATTATTACCTATCTACCGACCCAATATTTATATGATAATGTATGAAGAAAATTTTGTTCCAAAAAAGTTGGAACCCCCCCCCCTCCTTGAAAGAAGGAATTTCGACTTTAAACCCCCACCCCCTTTTTTTTGTTTTGTTTTGTTTTTGTTTTTGCTTGTCAGATTTTTTCTTGCAAGTTGATTTTTTTTCTCTGGCTCCCCCAACCCCTCCCACTTTTAAAAACGAAAATTATATGTTTCTAATTCGACTATTGAATGATGTCCTCAAATTATTTATATTTTGAGAACTACAGTATCTTTTTGTCAGTATACTTGAATCAATCTATGATTTTTTTTCTTAAAGATGACGCAAGTTATAATTTCGACTACAGTTTTTTTTTCTCTGTACATTAGAGCTTCGGTCGAAATTACTCTGAGTGCGGGATCAAAGTTACCCTTCACGTATACAGTGTATCTTGTAATTTTATATTCTGACGAATAATGCATCCTTACACTAACAAACAATGACATAATGGTACATAGCTTGAGTACAAAGAAAATTTAATAAATATACAGCACCAACAGACATATAGCATCAGAGGGGTCTGCCCCACCTTTTGCACACATTACTTTTTACTGTTCGAAATGTTCATTGAAAGGCTTGTTGCCCCCCCCCCCTTTTTTTTTTGTTGCAGTACAGTCAAATAAGGCTAATGTAGTAAAGTATGGAAAAAAAATGGTACCGAAAGAAGAATTTTTCTTTGGCTTGTCAGGTTTTTTCAGGTAAGTTGTTTTTTTTTCTCTGCCCCCCCCCCCATTTAAAACGTCTGTGACCCTACCCAAATGCATAATTTGCAGCTTTTATAATCCACATATCTATACAGATATAACATATATCATGAAAGGCAGCCGAAAGATAAATTAAGTGAAGATTGCAACATAAAACATCATCCAAGAAGACACTGTCTATCATATGAATGCTCGTTTATTTCTTTGAAGTGATATTTCACATAAAGAAAAACCTACCCTTCTTTCTTTATGAAGTTACTTTTTCTTTTACTAGATACGGTATGGAAAAAAAATTATTGCATATACATGCATTTCCCCATTCTACTTTTAATCGTAGTATCGTATTATTTCCATGTATTTACTTAAATGTATTGAAAATGGACATTTGATTCGATTAATTGAGCTTCGACCCCCTCTCCCTCCCCAAGTACACAAACATCTACGCGAGACCAATTTAAAAATATTACGTTTTCCGGAGAAGTGCCAACTATTTTCTGATTTTTAATGGTTGATTTCTGAAACGTTAGAAAGCAATGCTACACTGTATAATTCATTACAACAATTATTGTCCATTGTGCTCTCTCTCTCTCTCTCTCTCTCTCTCTTACAAACACATAGATGTACACTTTTAAATACAAGACACTGTATAAGCGCATCACCTAGTAACTTGTTGCCTTCGCATGGATTTATACAGGGTATGAGTTTAGATTCCATCCATGCTATAAAACGTAACTTTCCCCAAATGAACATAGTGCACACTAATATATACACTAGACAAAATTTCTAACGCACCACTTATTTTTTTATTTGTGAACTGATCATTTTCCTGATTGGTACTAGTATATAAAATATGCCATCTTTTCCAAAACAGTTGGATTGACAAATGTCTTGGTGTCATGTCAAGACCCTTAAAGGACCTTCTTGTCCGAAAACCAATTCCCGACGTGCACTGCGCACCGTTTTTGCCAAGATATGAAGTTGATGATTACCGATGGTGGTCCTTGACCTTGCGACGGGAGCAGTCTTCCACTTAAAAATCAAATGGTATACCCTGATTGACTACCATATTGCTTAGTTGTCATCCAGTGCCTTGGTGTCCCTACCAAGTCCACCCAACTTCCGGTTGCCCCAATTTTGTGGAACAATCTTGAAATTATTGTGTGTGGTGCTCAGTTAATGCCGTCGATATCTATTGTAAACATTTTTATGATCAAAAATTCATTTTCAACAGTTTTTCACCAGAGAAATTCATAATCATTTAATTCTTTTAATTTTTCACAAATTTCTTTAAAGGAACCCCCTGCAGACACCATACTGGCTGCCTTAGAACGCTCTTCTAGAGTCAAACACTGCATACGGTGTAACTTTTTTTCTGAGTTTTTGATTAGTACAAACATAAAGAACACAACCACAAAGAAAAAATTAGAAATTTATTCCACCAAAAAAGTATGGATATAATTTTATTTTTTTCTATGAATTGGTTACGCTTCCGTAAACATTGTTGTTATTTATCAGTTAAAGCATTTAAATGTCTCATTTTTTATTAAAGTAACATAATTATATATATCAAAAACATCATAAACAAGTTTTGAAAAGAAAAATGTTAATTTATTTAGGTGGTGCGTTAGAATTTTGTCTAGTGTACATGTATACGTATAACCACTGACGCATGACAAATGTGTTTCCTAACCCGTCATAGGTATTTTGGCGTATTTTCTTCTGTTTGTCCGCTTTTAATTACATTGTAAGATATTACAGAAAATTAGAAAGGAGAAATTATCATTTACAAAGTGATTGAAATACTGTCCGTTCTATTATATACATATACTTAATTTTTCCGATTTATTAATTTTAAACTAGGTGCAATAACTGGTCCCGGGAAAACTACCGAGATACGGGAAGTCAGGGCGAGTTACGTTCGTTCGTAAGATGTCGGTATTTCTCTTATATGAGTGAAAAATTCTCGAACGAGACGTAAAACAACATACAATCAATCAATCAGTCATTAATCAGGGAAAAGAGGATCAAACTGAGTTAAGACGAATCTAAATTTAACGTATGGTTAATAGAATAATGACTAGTTGGTAGAGGGCTGGCTCCGGGATCGGAAGGTCGTGGTTTCAAAACCCGGCAGTGACGGAACTAAGTCGAAAAATAGGTAGCAATTAATTCTTCGACACTTTGAAGTGAAAGTTGCGAGTCTTTCGGATGAGACCTTAACAACAGAGGCCCCCTGTCACGGCAGACGTTGGCACGATAAAGATCCCTCACTGCTCCATGTTTCTGAGTGCCAAATGCCTTTTATGACCAAACATTTGCATGAATCAGACTTATGTCGAAAATGGTCGATATTGTGTGCTAAGTTTAGGTAGGTTATTGATAAAAACGACTTATCATGTACTTTAGCTAAATATCAAGACATCAATCCCAGTTTTCCTTTGCAGAATTTCAGAATATTTTTCCTTTTAAATAGATGATGCACAATTGTGCAATATTTTACAAAATAAAAAAAAAAACTAAATTCTCATATAAAAAACTATGTTAAAATGTTTTAACTCAATTTTTTTCCACAATTTTTCCCACAAAAATACGAGTTTTGGCTGAATTCTTCAATTGTGTTCTTTTTAAAATCAGTTGTTTTTTTTCAATCGCTCACGCGATTATAATATTTTGTAAACAGCCTTTGGAGGCATAATTTAGCGCCACATTTATGGGGTTCGGTATACTAGAAGTGTGCAGAGTATTGAATCCCTTGTATGAATCAGTTGTATAATTAAAGAACTATAGAAGCGTGTCATTACTTCCTGTCCCTCCATTATACTGTAGATTCCTTATTTTTCGCGAGTACTTATTATCGCGAAACGACTCTTTAACGTCAAATCGCGAGAACAATAATTCGCGAGTGAATAGTTGATCAAGTGATTTTAGATTGATTTCAGTACCATAAAAATAAAAGCGAGTAATTTTATTTCGCGATTGGTGCTTCTCGCGTAATTACGCGATAATTAATTCCTCGCGTATATTTAGGAATCTACAGTAATATATTACAATTGTGTCATTGATATATCTTTTTATACATTTGTAATCTACATGTACATTTTAAATCATGAACATGCATTGTAAAATTATGAGACATTTTGAAGTTTGAAAATGAATTTGAAACTACATGTATCTGGCTGATAATAAGTTATACGATGTTGACTACAGAAAACCAAACATTTACCGGTAAGAGATCTTTGGAAGTTTTATTCTTACATTTACAAGACTTTTTTAAAAAATGTTATCTTTGATTTTAAAAATGTTAAATTTGTTTTTATTTATTAAGAACGTTTTCTCATCATGCACTACGTATTATGAGCTGTATACATGATGTTGATAATCGGAATAGTATAAAGAAGAATCGTGATGATGGAAGATTTATAGAATATCTCCTCGGAGATCCTGTTATCCATTCTGGGCGGCTTCTTTTGAATCATGGGTATTTAAAAGATGCTATTAAAACAGAAAACAAAACGTTTTTGGAAAATGAAGTTGTAAAAGATGTTTTAAATGGAATGTGGTACGGAAAAGACAGACTGACTATACGTCGAGTAAGTGACAAATTATCTATCATATATGAATTGTGCTGAGAAAAAAAAATCATATCGTGTAAGGTTTATCTTTACTTTCAGGCAGCTATGTTTCTTTGTCTGTCTCTACTGCATTTTGTATTATTACCTGTTCTCATGATTACAATGGAACATCAGCCTTTGCAAAAGTAAGTGAAACGCTTCCCTAGTATGATCATTGGTTGTTTTATATAATGTTTCATTGTCTTTCAAATTTCACCATAGAAATGTCTTCAAAGGATTGAGAATTCTTACTTGAAGAAGTGATTTACAGAAAATAATACCTATTCCTTAGCAATTATATGTATGTCGTGGAATTCCTCGACCACAATATTTTTTTTTAAATTTTGGATGCTTGCTTTACAGGCTGTATAAACTTTACAATATCCCGTTCATGAAAGTAGCCAATAACTTGGTAAGATATGTTTAATGGTTATTCATTCGCTTTTTATGATCAATCAAGTTCATGAATATACTAGTCTGTGAATTATATACATGTTATATATATTCCAGTCTTCATATGACGAGATTTTATAAAAGTATATCAAAAATAAACTTAGATTAAATATTGTCTTATATACCTGTATTTCATACGGATAACTTCGATAGGCATTTCTGCAGATTTCACACCTAATGATGATTATACCTGTATATTACATGGCACTTTCATTCTTTCAAATATTGATTTAAGAATGTGACTGTTAATATTAAAGTCCAAGCTGCTCAATGATAAAATTTTCAATTTTAGGTTGGATTGTTTTGTCTTCTCCTGGGCTACGCCTATATGTTAATCTGCAGCCACGAGGAAAATATCTCCTATGCTGATGTGTTTCTTATTATTTGGATGGGAAGTTTTTTCATTGATGAAACCAAGCAGGTATTAGAAGCATTTTAAAAAAAATCGTTGACTTGATGTTTTGTTTTTTTTCAAAACTTTAATATTCCTTTGAATGAATAGGTTTGAAGACCTGGGTACTGACTAATTTAAATGAAAACCTATTTAGACTGCAATTGGCGAATAAAGACTATCATAAAATCAGACATGTACACCAATTATAATATGAAAAAAATGGTGTGCCTTTAAGCAAGTTAACCGTATTTAACTTGTTATTCATGTCATACGGAGAAATCTTCTCTCTCTCTCTCTCTCGTAATGAAGACACACTGAATTGTCGACGGATTTTTCCGTTATTTCCCGATCATGACAAGGAGCACACGGCGGGTGTGACCGGTCGGCATGGGATGCTCACTCCTCCATGGCATCTGATCCCAGCTCTGAGGTCCGTGTTTGCTCTACTTCTATTTTGTAATGTTTAATGGACTTTTGAGCACGAATACTGTTCGTTATCTCCACATATTTCATGTTACAAATCATACCTAACAAATATGTAAATTCCTAAGACATTTCTTCAGGATAGTCGTTTGGTAGTACCTGTTTGAAGAAAACAAATATCTACACGCACGCGTTTTACATGTTTTGAGATTTCAGTAAAGCCAAACAAATTGTTTTTAATAGTTGTAAAGCTTGAATAGATAAACTTGCATGTTCTGCTAAATGTTGAAAAAGCTTTAGCTTAATTTTGAAAAAAAGTCTCATTATAAGGTGCTTTTCATTGACAGTAAAATCCATTCTTATCCTTGTTCAAAGAAAAACAATGGCTGCAAAATTTTTTTGTTTATTTTAACAATTTTCAAAAATGAGAGCTTTGTCTGAAGTAAAATATATAATATTGAAATTGAGATGTTGTCATTTCAACAATTTAAATAATGTGATGTGGTCGTCCATCATGAGGATAAATAGGACAGATCCGCAGATGAAGGTTCCGAAATTTATTTAATTTTAATAGTTTTAAATCAATATTAAATTATTTCTTACCAGATGTAAAACCAAGATTCCGTATGGAATATCTTCGATAAACTGCATTAAAGTTTTTATATTTCTCGCAGGAGAACATCGACACATGATCACAGGCACTTAGGGTATGGACTCCCTTCCCCTCCTCTTTTTCCTACTTTTGTATTTAATATGCACTATATGTTATCGATAATGTAACCCTTTTGTCTCTATAAGCTGTTTTATATATATTATTTTCGACTGATACATAAAAAGAAAGAAAACAATATATTTAAAAACAACTTATAGAGACAAAAGGGTTAAATTATCGATAACATATAGTGCATATTAGAATACAACAAGAGGCCCAAGGGCCTTAACGGTCACCTGAGTATAATACAACAATTTAGAGGATCCATAGATTATAAAATAAACTGAAAGGTGAAGCTTTGTAGCAACCGCTAATGATAAAACACCGCTTAATGATAGAAATATGTCATGAAATTCACTACTCTGGAAGAAGCACTACTGCTCATCATAACTATACACTTAGCTTCTTTGCTTTTTAATCAGAAGCAGAAAAAATATTTTCAAAGAAATTTTGCTTTTTTCACTATATATTCAATACCCCCTCCCCTTTTCACCAGAACCCTTGACCCTGGGGCCATGAAATTCACAATTTTGGAAAAGGCATCCTTGTGTATCATAATAATGTACTTAGTTTAAATAATACCCAGGGGCAGAAAAGAAGATTTCAAAGGAATAATTCACCTGAATTACTATACGATCTATATAGCCCCACCCTAGTACCAGAACCCCTGTCCTTGGGGCCATGAATTTCACAATTTTGAAAGAGGCATCCTTGCTTATCATAACAATGTACTTGGTTTGTTTAAATAATACCCAGGAGCAGAGAAGAAGATTTTTAAAGAATTAATGCATTTCCACTATATAATCAAGAGAGCCCCGCCTTAACACCGGAACCCCTGATCAAGGGACCATGACATTCACAATTTTGGAAGAGACATCCTCGTTTATCATAACTATGTATTTAATTTGTTTAAATACATGTAATACCCAGGAGTAGAGAAGAAGATTTTCAAAGAAGTAATGCACTTTTACTATATGTTCTATATAGCTCCGCCCTAGCACCAGAACCCTTGACCCTAAGCCATGAATTTCACAATTTTGGTAGAGGGTTCAATGCTTATTACAATCCTGCCAATAGTTTGACTGCTTCATGTCCAGGAGTAAAGAAGAAGATTTTTAAAGATTGCATTAATTTTGGTGGTTTTAGCCCCACCCCTCAGGTCCCACGGGGGCAGGGACCATGAAATTCACAAATTTTGTTCCCCTTCACACATAGATGCCAAATGCTAAAATTGGCTGAAATTGGTTCAGCGGTTTAAGAGAATAAGGTGAAAATGTTCAAATGTTAACACACGATGCACGACTGACGACACACGAAAACAGATAGCAATAGGTCACCTGAGTGACTCAGGTGACCTAAAAATTAGGAAAAAAGTTGATCCCATATTTCAAAAGATAAAAATGGAAAAAGGGAAGGGGGTCCGAGTGCCCCAAGTGCCTATGACCATGATAATTTAAAGTAACGTCCAAGTTAAAAGAAATAATCGTGCCGCAGTACTCATACTAGCACTCACACATGCGTACATAGCAAATACCGCTCTCATCCAGGAATATACAATAGTCTCAAGACAATCACATGACATTCAAAACCAATAATCAGATGACACGGAACACCTAAAATACCAGAATACAATACAAACTCGATGAGAATGACCACGCATGTTTGTTTGTTTGTTTTATACGTGCCTCTAGAGAATTTTTCACTCATATGGAGACACCAACACTTCCCGGTGAAGGGCTGCAATTTTATACCTATTCTCGGCACTAAGGGCCATTGAGCAGTGAGGGATCTTTTCGTTCCAACACCTACTGCGACACAGGACCTCAGTTTATACGGTCTCACGTCCCGCAGTGAATTCGAACCCGCGACATAATTATCAGCTTTTAACTCCGCAACTCTAGAGCAGACGCTCTAACCACTGCATCACGCGGGCGACAAGACCACGTATGAATGAATGAATAATGAATGAATAAATGAAATTTTATCTACTACTTATACTAGCTGTACTAATTAAATAATAAGTATAAATAAAAATGAAACCAAGTGATTACCACCCTGTTTGCTAAACCTTGTTAAAATGTTTTTACAAATGTTTGTTACAGTTGATATTTATTGGGGTTTTGTTTTGTTAAACTGAAAATGGAAAGAAAGATCGTTGTGGTGTTCGGGTCCTGTTTGTTTTTAGATAAGATATTGTCAAAAATAAGTGATATGAACAAGACAAAAGAATTGTTTACTTTTTACTTTTTTGGATTCGTGAACTATAACAAGTACACATGCTTTTTAACAATTTTCCATAAGTTTACAAAATATACAGTTTATTTGATTATTTGATCTGTTTAAAATTTGTTGAAATTTTCATGAATAACAAGTAATCATATTTTTCTTCAAAGAATTCAACAGTAAAATGAGTGGTTTATATTTGTTGCATTTGTAAATAATACTTTTGATATTCTCCTATTAAACAAAGTCCCCTATTTACCACTTTGTTAACACACCAGTATAGCTACATGTTTCAAAAACGTTTTAGGTTTTCATTGCAATATGGAGAAAGAAATTCACTGCATACATCAGGGATCCATGGAATATACTAGACTGGCTCTCAATGATAACATTTACATGTGGGATGCTGCTCAAGTTAGGAAATGGATTACATTATTACAACGCCTCCAAAATTCTTCTCGTTTTAGCTTTTATCATTCTAAGCATCCGGGTTTTTAACTTGTTCTGCATTTCTGAGCTTCTTGGGCCAAAACTTGTCATCATACGGAAAATGGTAAATATTTTGAAATACACAATTGTAATACTTCTATGACAAAGGCATTTATAAGCGGTATCACATTTATGTTAATTAAAAATTCTTAAAGTGTTTTATACAGTAAAGATTTTTTATTCAATGAAATTCTGTATTTCATGTTTCATTTTAAAAATAATAATAATTGCAATTATTTGATACTAAACAAAATCTGAAAAGAATTCTTCAGTTTGGCGTCATAATGAGTAAAAGTTTCATTCGATGTTTTCAAAGAATAATAGAAAATCAAAATTATCAAAATCAAAGTGTCAAAGTATAAAACGTGCATTCAATTATAAAAAAAAATGTATATATTTCAGTTTATAGACACTTTTGCCTTTATGGCGATTATGACAGTCATTACCATGTGTTACAATGTTTCGTACTACGCCATATTGTATTATGGTAACTCAGACTTCAGCTTTGATACATTGGAAAAAGTTACCAGAAATGGATATTGGATGCTTTTTGGAGAATTAAATTTGGAAGGAGATCGGCGTATGTATTCTCTAACAATCATATTAATATCGAAAAAAATATAGTTAAAAGAATGTCATAATTTTGTTTACGATTTGTTTCTAGTTGTTTACAGTACAACAAATAATGTTTAAACATTAAACACAAATTGTGGGTAAGTCAACCATTTAACAATTTGAATTTACAGTATATATAAGATACATTTCAACGCCATATTAATAAAGTTTAATTTGAAGCTCTTGTCTTTATCCCTTGAATATATATATGACTAATCTTGATCCCATTTTGGGTATATGTTTTTCACAGCTACATGTAAATGTCTCCAATTACATATATACTTGTAATTTTAAAGCGGCCTCTTGAAAATAGATCGGGAGTCAAATTTTAAATATATGTAAACCTACATCTTTGGAAGATACCCATATATCAAGAGGGTTCACTGTTAAGCTGCCAATCTATAGATGCTTTGTCATGTTACTTTTATAAAGGTTTTATTTTTTTAAACTTCTCCAGAAGTACTCGACCTATTTTAAACACCTGTACAATATGCCATATTTCATGTAGTGTCTGTTCAAACCATGACCTTGTCGCAAGGGTTGAACCACAGCAGAGTTCAGTATTTGTCATCATAATATGTACATGTAGCAAACAATAAATTTAAAATTTATTTTTCAGAAGGGGTGGACCAAAGCAGTTACATTAATATGCAAAATTCTTTATGTAGAATGGTCCAAGTTTTTTTTTTTAAATCATGGTTTCTGTTGCCAGTGTGGGGTCAAAGTTTTAATCAGGAACACTTAGGAATATTTTGTTAAAAAAAAAAATCCCGCCTTTCGACTGCATACGTAGGATCAGCAGGACCACAGTAGGTCATATAAATATAAAAGCATCCTCATTTATTTATTCAGGACTTAAGTTTGCTTTAAAGATATTTCTGACTTATTTCTAGCTAAAGTCGGACCCCTTCTGGCAGCCCCGTCCTTTTAGCAGGGACCATGAATGAAATAATCTTGAATATAGTGCTTACAAGAAGTATTCACCTAAATTTTGTCATTCCTTGTGAAGTGTTTTGGAACTATAAAGAAGGTTTCTTCGCAAGTCTTGTGTTTGGCCATGTAGACATGGTTCTGAAAATATTTTGGAAGTATGAAGCTTGCAGATATTATTTTAGTATCTGTTTCAAGTGATCTTAAAATCCCTTTTTCACAATTTGAATTTTAATATCTTTGATAGTAATAGAACCAGAGTGCTCATTTGAAAAAGTGTTTTATTCCAATGGAACACTGGAGAGATGTCCTTCATCGCTTGGAAGATTTCTGGCACCTTATCTAAAGGCACTGTACGGATTGGTAGCTGTTATTTTGATGCTTAACCTATTGATAGCCATGTACAGGTTGTTGTTTATCTATATTTACAATTCTAACAGATTCTTTATTTCAATACTAGATTCTTTCAGTTTTCAGCATAATTGAACGATTTGAAGCCACACGCAGAATTACAATCATTTAACAGATAAATACATGTATAACCTGAGTTCCTTTACCAATCCAATTTTTCTGTTATAAAAATATACCTACTTCGCAGTTGTCTTATACCTCCATTTTTTTTCTCTTCAATATATCAGCTGATATATCTGATTAAACAAAATGAAAATTTACATAATTATATACTCAGCTGAATATTATGAACGCGTTATTCTTGTTAAGCAAGGGTATGTCATAAATCTTCATTTATTTACTACATTTTTTGTTTCATTTTTTGATGAATAATAGTGTATATAAATCATGTATCTTTTTGATGTTCCTACTATCTGTCTCTTGAATTTTTAATTTGCAAAATTAAAAATGTCTTTCATTCGAAGATTATCCAAATTATTTCGTTAACTTTTAAATAAATTTCATTCTAACATTAAAGATCAGTATGCAATATCTTGTTTGATATAACTACGAACATTCTATTCTGTAACATAGAGAAAAATTGCTTTCGTTTTTTTTAAATGCATGTAATCAGTTACATGTAAGTAGAAAAATCTTGTTTTCATTTCATGCTTGTATTAAGCCACACATTCTCCGAGGTGCATGTGAAATCAAAGTTTTACTGGTCACAGCTTCAGACTGACTTTTTAGAGGAATATAGCGTTAAATCGATATTTCCCTTTCACATGCAATGGATAGCCATGATCTTCTGTTTATTCCATCTTTTGCTTTGGGGAATACAATATGGTTGTGTGAAACTTCGTGCAAGAAAGGAGAACCATGATGAGTCAACAATCAGTATCAGTCAGACTGATGGAGGATATAAGGAAGAGGGGGATAAGAAACTCAACAAACACCCTATGTTTGTCAGAGGTATACGGTTTTGCAAAGGAAATGTATGAGATATCTTTCTAAAAGAAATTCTGTATTGAAAATGAAATGTACTAAAGAAATCTGATATATAGTACAGGCCGGAATGTTTACTATTTTCCGTATAAATTAAACTTAAATTATGCTTATAATGAGTTTATGAGAAAAGAAAAAAGAAAAAAAAATGCAAAAAAGAACATGAGCTAAGTGAAACGTTTAGACATAATCCTTTCAGGAACATTCAGAAGCGTTATTTCTCCTTCAAAATTCTGTAAAAAATTCAGTTTCTTGAAAATCTTTCATGGAAACCTATATCTTTAATACATTGAATCCGAAGACTAACATTGATGCAGAATATGCTTACTGAAAATTGTTTCTTTTTTTTCATTAAAATCATAATCTGCCCATAGGTTTCTATGTAAAACTAGTTTGGTCAAGTCTTTTAGGAGAAAAATTAGAAATAAAATCCCTTTATTAAGCTCATTTTTTAGTTTGTTCGATGAAATATTGACATATTTCCTTACTTTGACTTTGAGAAGACACTAATATCTTTTACTATTTATTCATCAAAATGTTAGGGAATGACTGGGCCAATATACATGTACTTTCAGTATTTTTGTTTGACACAAACTTTGACATCAAACTGAGGAAAACGAGAAAAGTTGAAGGTTATGCTGCTTTACAAGCTAGACGGTAAGTAGTTCACACTTGATTTAATTCGTCATGTACATTTTATTGATAACTATATAATATTTATTTATAATTTATTGTATATTGATTTTTTTAAACGACAAATAATGGATTGGGTACTTGTACTTTTTATTTTTATGACATTTATTTTAATTATTTTCATTTAGTGGTGTACATGAGTATTATTTCATTTTTCCTTGTAACAGTGGATATTATTGGTCAGTGCTGTATATTTCCAAGTGAATACTATCATACAACACGGACCAATAGAAATCAATGTAACAAGAAATAATACAACATCTACCTGGAATTTAACATTTACAAAATAGAGGTTTTTAGATTATTACAAAAACTGAACAAAAAAATAAAACATTACGTGTGAGTAGAGCATTGAGTAGCACTTAATTAAAAGAATGATTAATAAATGAATAAATCAAATAAAGAAAGAAAATAATATACACCACTTAATCAAAATAAGTATCCTAAATATAAAAAGTACAATTACCACATTTAGCATTATCATTTTGACACTGAAGTTGCTACATCACATGGTTTCTTTTCCAGAGAGATGGATATTGCAGAAGAGGACAAAATATCGGTACTCTCTCTCTCTCTCTCCCTTTCTCTCTCTCTCTTAGCCCATTACCTTTTTTACACCTATCGTTGGACAGACCGTATTATGGAATGGGGTTTGGTCTGTTTGTCTTACCTTATTTATTTTCAAGTCCAATCTGTTCACGCTTTGCATCAAGCACAATATCAAACCTTTCAACTTATTCACCCTTCGAAGTAGGATGGGCGCCCGTAAGTAGTGACCTTGTTTTGGGAATTTATGGTTTCTTTTATAAAATGATATCTAGATCAAATCTTGTACACTACAAAGTTGAGAAATGTCAATTTTTATCCTATATAAAGCGTGGGGCAATTTGTTTTCGAGAAGTGGTATAAATCAGAGGTGGATGCTAAAAAACCTTTAGATAATTTGAAATTACAAAATTTCACCAAAATCCATCAAGACGTACGACTTTTCAACACTTTACACAACCAATGCCAACGATAAATTAAAGTCCGGACAGGCATTTTGACACCATAGTCAGCTTCTTTGTTCAATAAAAATGGAACTCGTAAAGAGCAAGAGCCACGAACCATCAAAAATGGCCCTGTGTCAAAAATTAACGGATTTTTGTCAATTGATAGTGAAGACCTTTAGCTCTGCTTTGCCGTTTTTCTTTTTTCGATATCGATTATATTTTTTGAAAAAGAGAGTCTGAAGTGTGGTGGTGTTTTAAAAGAAAAATGCTAGTAGAACGTCATTTTCTGTAACGTAACATCGTAGGGCGGAAAAATTTCCTTGATCGATTTTGCATGTATGAATATGTGACTTTGAATTAAAACTAGTATTAATAATATAATAAACATCATAATTAATTTAAGACGATTAAAAGCATTTGGAACTTGATTTAACTTGCCGTCTTTATGGTAACCTCGTGTTTAACTGATTGAATTATATAGTTACATGAAGTAAAAACTAGAGGTACTGTGAGCACTGAGCTCACAAAATGATACCCCGCCTATCATATATTTATAATGGCAAAGTCCATGTTTTGCTATGGGAGACCCGAAATATGTGTCTGATCAAAAGTGAAATAGGAGGTGCACAATGGCACAATGTAAAAAGATTCTGTGAAAGTATCATTAAATCTTTAATTTATTCAGGCGTATAAGAGGAGTTGCGGATAAGAGATGGGTACCCTAAATATTATTTAAAGAATGGCAGTGTCTATGTTTTGCTATTGGAAACCTGAAATATGTGTCCGATCAAAAAGTGAAATAGGAGGAGCACAATGGCACTATCTACAAAGATTCTGCGAAAGTATCATTAAATTTTATTGAGTGGTATAGGAGGAGTTGCGGATAAGAGATGTGTACCCCAAAGCGTAATGGACGGACGCACAGACGGACGGAAAGGACACCCCCATCACTATATACCCCAACTTTTCAAGCGGGAGTATAATAATCTGTGTGACTGTCTTGGAATATTTTCATTCTACCTGGTCCCTATGATAATATTAAAAAAAAGGAACATTCTATTTATATCCCTTCAACACATTTTTGAGCGATGCTTCGCTCCTAGTGAAGTATTGTGTATAGATCATCATAAACAATATACGACATGCTTCAAATGCCGATAGTCTGACCAACTAAGTTTTCCGGATTTTTCCCTACAGGCCAGCAGATATTAAGCTGATCTTTGGCATGTGCGTCCAGGCACGTAGTATCGTTTTTCAAAGTTGGGAAGTGGGCAGTCGGGAAAAAAATAATTGACAACATACCTGAAATGATCTTGAAACGAATGTTTCTGAACTGAAGAGCTAATTCTATAACTACAGTGTAGGTAAAAGTTTAATTGCAAAAAGTTTTGTTTAAATTGAAAGAGACTTTCAATGCAAAATTCTTAGATCCTGATATTGCGAGTATTTTAACGTATAAAAGATCTAAATTATTTGGACAAGAGGAAAAAGGAAAAAGTTGGAAGGACTTGTTTCTAATCCATTTATTCATTTGTTTTCGATACAGAAACAGGGAAAATTTTAGATTAATTGGAAAGGGATTTCGCAATTTATCAGAATGGTTTAATTAGTAAACAGAACTCATCAAAACATTTTAGCCCTAAATGTAAGTTTCTTTGGAGTAATATGGAAAACAGTAGAGTACACTTCAAAAAATATTCTTAAGAAAAATAAATTTGTTAAAAAATCACTCGTCACTGTCCATTATTATATATTTAACAGTATTTGCTGGAACCCCCCACCCCCCATTTTTTTGCAAAATATTCGAATTTTTTTCTCCAAATACCTTAATATCTGCAGGGATTTTGTAAAGGTAGAGTCTGCGAAAATTCTATGATTATTTTCCATGTAAATGTATCAAAAGATTAAGCATGAGGAATTTTTCGTTATTATCACACGTAACCATTGTGTAAAATCCACACTTTCGATTTCATTTGCACATTATGGTTTTTATGGTTTATTAAAAGAGTAGAGCTACACTGATATTGCTGATATGTGGGTCACTATCCTATTGAAATACATGTACAGGTGTTCATTTGTCCTTGTTTTATTGTCTCACAATCAGCACAAGATTGATTTTAATCAACAAAAGCTTGCTTAAAAATATTTTACTCGGAGAAGCAATAAGAGTTGTCCGTACATATTTTTTTCAGTTTTCTTTGTGATTTTTTTTTTTCGTGAAAAGAGGCGCTGCCAAACCAGTCCCCACCCCCTTCTCATTGAGGAAAAAATAAGAGGAGTAGGAAAGTCTTTATCAATTTTCAATTTCTAGATTGATTTCTATTAATTAACAATAAAGAAAGTTAAATTCAAGACAACCTAAGAGAATAAAATAAAAATAACTACATTAAATGAAAATTTTGTTGCCATTAGTTTGTAACACCCCCCCCCCTCTTTTTTTCAATCTCAACTGGAAGTCTTGGATCTACCATTCTACATATCATGATACTAATAGTTTATACTGAGGGAGGAGGTACAAGTGGTACAAGTGTACTAACCAGAATAAGCTGACAACAGATTTAAAAAAAGAGTAAAAATTATATCCAAAAAAAAAAAATCTACTTCGTTGGGTTTAAAAAAAATCTAGCTATAAACAACTTACGGCCATACGTTTTAAAGAACATATTCCCGTTTTATTGATTTGTTTTTTAAAACACATTCTAATCTCTCTCTCTCTCTCTCTCTCTCTCTCTCTCTCTCTCTCTCTATGTGTTTTCACTGAATTCTTATATAAAACCGTATACTAATAAAGTTGCAATGAAGAGATGATGACGGATAAAAACTTTGGGTAAATTATATGATTTAATTTATGTTTTGTCTAAATAGACCTATAATCACTACCCTTTCACTGACTGACGATCTGAAGCATAACTATACTAATAATTAAATTGTGTTAGTTACAATGAAATATTTGGAGCACAGTACAAAAAATGCATAAACATTTTATACTGATGTCTAAGACATACGACATGCATTTAATGCAATTTTACTCACTGGGGGTATATTTGAATTATGTTTCGCAAAGGATGACAAGATCGGGTATATGTTTTATGTACATATGCATCAATAGCCTCACTTCGATTTTAATAAATACAGACATATTAAAAATATACCGATATATTCTTTTGTTTTTGATCACGGGCGCGGGATCGTCATGTGCAAGTGATTTGATGAAACCCGATATCGGTGCACACATAACTGTATACTATAACTATACGTTATTTTTTATCAGCATGTATAAGCCATCGATATAACTGAATTTTGTTAATCAACTGAGATGATTCTTCTGCATGAACACAAAAGGGTGGATTTCGGTGCGGAAATGCAGATGATTATCTTAATGCGTATTTTTTTCATTCTTTTTTTTTTTTTTTCATTTTTTTTTTTAATTTTCACTTTGGACAGCAACCCATATCATTATTATTTCGCTTGTTTTAAAAAGGTATAGCGTGATATCTTTGCTACACTCTCAATTTATTTGTTTACAATTTAAGTCATGCTTGATAACACTATTAACAACAGTATTTTGAATTATTTCAGGGAGGGGAGGGGTAGTAAAGAAAGACACCGTGGCGGGAATTTCTGATAACTTATAATTTGATGGTATCATCCAGTTGGGTTTACATGTAATTAAATCATATACATGTAGGGGCACTATCTAGAGCGTTAAAAACTTTTCAGCAACATCCCAAATAATTTACAACCTTTATGACGTCACAACTGACGTATTACTAGTAACGTCATACATAATGACCTAGTCAAGTAAAAAAAAAGTTTTTCCAGACATTTATTTCAGAAAATGTATATAGTTGACTATTTTTCACTTTTAGCGTTTTAAATGAACATTACTGATTTTCTAGCATCTTTTGTGAAATTTATATTTTTTTTATTATTACATGAATTGAATGTAAACGATTGATCTACAAATTAATGATCATTTGATCCATCAAAATTTAAATATAAAATCAAATTTCATATTGGCCACAGCCACGAACAACAACGATATTAAACATAAAGATTTGTATCCGTAATATCTATATCTATGGGAAGTATAAAAGTTGTTCTTGACTGTGGCCACATCTAACTTTGGGAAAATCTGTCGAAAAAACGGCATTTTTTAACGTTTTTATGAAACCGTCGCATTTTCCAACCGTCGCACGTGTTTAATGGCGCATTATATAACGATATAAGTTATGTATGGAAAAGAAGAATGTTGTCCTCTAACATTTAACGTATAGTACTCTTTTTGAACCGAAACTTTATTTTTGTGAAAAACACAGGGCCAAATATGATGGTTCGTGGCTTTAGCTCTTTACTTACCTTGTCATTGGTCTTTTACAAACTTATTTTGTTAAAAACATTCTGATTGTACACACATTTTTAGTACTAAAAAGATGCTTGAGTTTCTGATGACAATATCTTTGTAGTTTTTGAGATTAAGTCATCCAACAATCTGTCGGAATTTCCATGGGTAACAATCGCGCCCCTTTATAACGGAACCTATTTTTAATCCATATGAAGCAGGATT